AAATGTCCTCGGTAGAGTAAAAAGCACTGGTCACATTTCCTGTGTTTTTATGTAAGACAAAACTTTGAAGTAACTTTTTACCATTAGTGCTCAGCTGTTTTTGTGTGTACGTCTGAATGAGAGAAGATTGGATGTGGAGCGAGTGGAGACATGCCCGTACCACTTTACACTGTCATTGACATGCCATCATGAACACTGTGATGGTAACACCGTTGTCATTATCATCACTGTTTTCTCAGGGCACCGTGAACACAGGACAGCTCCTGTCTTTTATTAGCCGTTTTATTTTCATCAGCTACGGGAGCCTCCCTAATCGCACACATTGCCCTCCTCTCCTTCAGCGTCAGCTTGAACTCTGGCTGAGGCATTTGCTAGTAGTGGTGCAGAGATGCCAGACAGACTGGCAGGTGGTGCTAGTGGTTTGTAAGAGACAATGTCTCCCAAAAAAATCAATGAACAGGTGCACAGAAGAGACACAGTGTATTTAAAGTCAGCTGTCTTTATCTTTGAACAACCAACCTGCTTGTGTTTATGGTGTGAGATTAGCTCAGGATTTCAACAACACTGCCATTCACTTTGTTCAGCCCGATTAAATCCCAGGGGAAAACTGATTTGATTACTAATAGCAGTGTTTTTGGAAAGATTGATCTGGACACAATAATTGCAACATGAAGATTACATTCTGTCACATCATGGATCATTCGAGTTGTCACAGTTTGCATGTATCATCTTTCTTCCATCCTGTTTTTCTGCAGCTCTGCACCACCTCCTCTCTTTCTTTCTTTCTCTGAGACGGTCAGTCCGTCTGTCTCCCATTTCCCGGACAGGAGTCCTTTTGGAAAGTGATCACAGGGCTGCAGGTCAGGCCAGTTCAGACACACTTCCTTCACAGCAGGGCATGCAGAAGATGAAGGGGAAAGAGGAGATGATATGAAGGGAGTTGTGCTATTAGTCCAGAGGATACACTGTGTGTACTATTAACTCAGCCTTTCATCTTGAACTCATACTGTATGTCAGCTTTTATCCAATCAGTGGTTGCAGATGGTTCACTGCCAAATTCAGTGTAAAAATTAAGAAAAAGACAGGTGACCAAAATTATATCTGATTCCTTTTCCGTGCACCTATAAATAGTGGTATTCTGATCCGTAAGGTTTTCTAATCTCTGTCCTGTGTCTGTCCTCTGTCCTTCAAAATGAGATGGAACAGTTGGATCAGCAAACCCTGTTGTTGACGTGCTCCAGCTGATTCTTTCTTCTCTTCGTTCTCTTCTCTAATTCTCCATGGATGAATGATACAAACATGATTAGTTGATGCTATTTATAAACTCAGGTGAGAAAAACACTTAAAAGACTCAAGGGTGAGCGTTAATCAGTGGAAGGCACACTGATTAACCCTCTGCCTCCATCAGTTCTGACTGTGCAGCTTTACAAACAGTCTTAAAGGATCTGGCTGGTTATCTTCTAAACAGCATTTTCAACCATCCACATTCAGAGACTAAAACCAACAGTGAATTGCCTCTACTCACTGTTGGGTGTCTGTCAGTCCTGGTCTGTGCCACAGACTTTCATTGTTCAAAAACTATTTATAACACACTGCTGCGCTGGGTGACACGTCCCCATGATGAATTAAAAGACCCTGATGCTTGTTACAAATATCCAGAGGCTTTGTGCATGGACGCTGGCTGTCAAAGGTTAAGGCTGTTTGGAGCCTTGGGGACAACATTTAAAAAAAATGTTATGGTAAATGGTCTTATCCTTGTATAGCGCTTTTCTATGCACTGTAGCACACTCAAAGTGCTTTCACACTATTTGGCCATTCATCCATTCGCACTCACACACCGGTGTCATCACTGGGAGCAACTGGGGGATTCAGTGTCCTGTGCAAGGACACTTCAACGTGTGGACAAGCAGGGAATCGAACCGCTAATATTCCGGTTAAGAGACAACCCGCTCTACCTCCCCTTCTGCTTTTGTCTTGTGTTTTGTAATGAGGTTAGTGGTGCACATTGTGGTTGTACAACACCCTCAGCTCAATGCTCAGTATGTACAGTATCTGTACATCTGTGTTTTGCGGGCCTGTCACATTTTTTTTGTGCATATCCAGCTGGGATCTTACATTCACCCCTCCCATCATGTAAACCATTGGTGACAATGCCCCAAAACCTATTGTACTTGTGCGTTAGGTGGCCGGCTTGCTGAGTTGGTCTGTAGAGGGGGGGACAGAGGGCCTGTCTAAGACAATGACCTCCGATTGACGTGTGAACAATGGAGCAGGCACACAGTAGCCTCCTGACAGAGGCGAGGGCACAATGGGTCTTTTTCTGCAGCACCAAGGGAGAAAGAGCCCGGATGTTAGCTTAGCTGCTTAGAGAAATCATAGAGACCTGCTTATTCTCTGCAGTTCGTGTTAGCCTGTGAGGTATGTCCAGGGTGACTCTCACAGAGGGCTGCTTCAAGTTTTGTGCTGCAGAATATTTTCTCATGTAATCAACATGTAAAAATACCTAAAGGAAGCCCAGGTAATGCCATTTCATGTCTGAATTTGTTGGCCATCCAATCCCAAGCCCAAATATTTTCAGTTTGCTGTCACATGGCACAAAGGAAAGCTGCTAATTTGCACACTAGAAAAGCCTGAATGAGGGAATGTTTGGTATTTCCTTGCAAGTTTCAGGAGTACTGCTGCTTGCTTTTCATACTCTAGAAAAATAAATGCAAACAGTAGCTGCCTGGAAAGTTCACATTTCTAATGCACAGTTGCATAATTTTGTGTAATTAGGCAAAATTATGCAACTTCTTCCTGTCTTCGTTAATTGCTATTTAAATTCTGGCAGTTGGGAAGGTGTCGTTTTGATCCTTGGATGGACATCAACGTTACTTTATTGTGAAACTCGCTGAGCTTCCACAATATTCTGGTCGTCCCTCCCTGTCCAGGACACATGAGCTGCCCATGTCCCCGTCACCCTTTTGTGGCAGGCCTGACACACAGTATGAATACTTGCGTACTAATCAGAACACACAGGGAAGAATTGGTCTGATCTTTTACGTCGTCCTTTGTAGTTTTTACGTCCTTGTTTTGCTCCCGTTGGTCTGAGGACAAGACACGACACATTCACAGAGTGAGGCTCATAACTGTTTAAAAAGTCAAGGTTTAAGAAATGCTGATTGAGAAGAGTCTTGGGCATCTGTCAGCAGCGTCACCCGTAATGTTTTGACTGATGCTCAAGGCCTGTGCTGCCAACAATACTGTGCTCACTGCAACAGTATCAGAGCTTTGATGACTGTGCAGCCTTCTTCAGTGCTTGATTTGTAGTTTTATGAGTGAGTCAGCATTTTAAAAAATGATATCTCAACAGTTGGCAGGCAAACAAACATGAGTACAACCCCACAGGACTGCAGGACTGTTTGGGAGTAATATCCTTTTGGCTGTGTTTGCAACGCAGCCGCAGAGTTTGGCAGCAGTGAAGAAAGAGACCTTTCTTCTGTGGACTGAAACTGGGATCGTAGTCTTTGGAGAGGAAGGAAGCGAGGCAGAGGGCCTCGGTTCGAAAGCTTGGGAGTGAGGGGCAGTGAGGGGGAGGGGGCACAGAGTAAGACTGACTCTTAGGGGCAAAATAAACTGCAGAAGTATGTGGTCACCTGAACATTACATCGTTAGGTGACAGTTGAACATCATCTTCCAAAACCATGGGTATTAATGTGCTGCAGCCTCTGCTCTTGTGATTCCAGGATTTCCATCAGGTTTTGGAGACTGGCTGCAGAGACTTTCCCCCAATCAGCATCAAGTTGATTTATTTGGATCAGATTCTCAGAACCTTTCCTGGGACCTTTAGGTTTATCAGTCATCTAGTACCTGCTTGAACTTGAATGTCTATGGTAACACATTCATCAGAATTAGACAAATTACATGTCATGGTAACGCATATTCATCAGAATTAGACAAATTACATGTTGTCATTTAGTGTAACTGTGTCTTCTATCTCAGAATGTGAAACCTTGGCTTTATGCGTGGGAACATTGTCCTGTTGAAATAGGAAGGGCCTTTCCTCAAGCTGTTGACACACAGCTGGAAGCACATTGTCTTGACTATCATTGTGGGCTGTAACATTAACCCAGAAACCTGAGGAGAGGCGTTCCCACCTACCACACGCTGTAGCTGCACACCCCACATCAAACCTCCTAATGGTGATGTGGAGAGAGGTGGTGGGATCTAACCCTGGACACCGTGTTAGTGCTTACAGAAGAGTGAAAAACTCACCTGTGAGAGTGTAGCATGCAAAACTGTCCAACGTCAGACAGGTTTATGTCCAAGTATTCATGGCCTGTTTGTACTTAAAGCGATGTCAGTATCATATAAACTTTGTAATACAGGCCTGTGTTTATCTTGTTGTACTGTAAAGTGCAGTCCAGTGTTATGCTCAGAATGGTCTAATGGCTTTGTTGGAGAAACACAACATGATTTAAGGTAACACTAGGCCTTTTCCCGTTTGAGTTCCCTGTGTGCTGAATGTCCTTAAAAGACCCCGAGAGTAGGCCTGCATTCTGCTGCTCTTCAGTTCTGTTTTACACTGTAAGAACGAATCAGATGGGGCCTCCCAACACGATGGGTGTTCATTTATAATGAGATTATTCAGATATTTTAATTATTATGATTTTGTAATGGTCTGGCTTCCATGGATTCCTGGTCACTTTGCTGTTTGGCTAAAAGTAATTTTAAAAAAGATTGGTTCGTTTAAAGTATGAAGACCAAAAAATGGCAGATGTTTTGAGTTTAACCTGAGCAGGGTTCTTTTTTTTGTCTGTCCCACATGCACCTCTAATAAACAGAGGAAGTGGATGTGTTGTGTCAGCACTTTCACACTGTTTTACCTACTTGAAAACAGAATTTAAAGAGTCACACACCTTAAAAAAAGAGTAATTCTGGAATCATAATGGTGACACAGAAATCGTCTCGTAGAACCATTTTCCTTCCACAGTTAACATGGACATTTTGTCTGTGCTCAGGTTTGAGAAGGGGAGGATCTACACTTACATCGGAGAGGTGGTCGTGTCTGTCAATCCATACCGTGCCATGAACATCTACGGCCGCGACACCATAGAGCAGTACAAGGGCCGCGAGCTGTACGAGAGGCCGCCCCACCTGTTTGCCATCGCTGACGCTGCTTACAAAGCCATGAAGAGGAGGAACAAAGACACTTGTATTGTCATCTCAGGTAGGCCTGGAGCTCCCTACATGAGCCTGACAGAGGCGCAAATGTTTTACTCTGTTGTGCTTTGACAAACAAATGGGAGACATTTTAACATTGTTCCCTCATACTGTTTTCGCTCCTAAGGGATGTTCTAAAGGAGAAAAATTTTGTTGTAATCCTCATTCAGCAGAAAAAAATAAACAATTCACCTTCATTTTCTTCTAAAACAAATATTTCATGTGGTCACACGTTGTGTGGCAGCGTGGAGGCGCCACTCGGTGGTCAGAGGAGGAACTGAGGAACCTCCCAACCCTGACATCAGCTCATAAATCCACCACAGTAGAAATACAGCTAGGTTTGATTTTGTAGGTTTGATTTGCAGGTATTTCCATGCACCCCCAAAATCATAGCATCAATAATATATTTCGTTATTTTTTAAAGACTCTTTGCACTTTTTTCTCTGCAGGAGAAAGTGGAGCAGGAAAAACAGAAGCCAGCAAGTATATCATGCAATACATTGCTGCTATCACCAATCCTAATCAGAGGGCTGAAGTTGAACGGTGAGCTGCTGCTCTTGACACAGTTAAACATGAAGTCAGTGCACACTCTGGTCACATACTAGTAATTAAACAGCCAGTATGATCAGATAGGTGCTGTTATTATGTGTCATTTGTCTGATTGCCTGTTGTAGTTAGTCATTGTCATGTTCCAGGAATTAACACTGCTGCAGTCAAAAGCTCTTGGATCATAGTGAGAAATAGTTACACTTCAACCAAGCCTCAGTCAGCATCACTGATAGCTGAGTGGGTGTGAGCTATTCCTGGTGATAGATCACAGAACTATTATGGTTGGAATTTCACCGTGTTGAAATCGAGCAGATATTAAGTGGAGAGCGAGAGATCACCTCTGGTGTAAAGTAAATAAAATGTCAGTGATAAAGATAAGATTTAGTGCAGGGAGAAGTCTAGCCCTAAGGTGACAGAATGAACAGCGATAACAAACTCCAGGTGCATTTGCATATATAGAACCTGCTAGGCTGCTGTGCAACACACCTTATCTGGAAATGTACACAGATGGACAAACACTGAACACAGCAGAGGACATAATAGTGTTGTTTAATTAAAAGGCAGATTATTATTTGAACCACAGGCTAAATTAATTTCAGCCTGTGTGTAGCAGAAATAGGTGTAGACTGTGTTTTATATTTTATATTTCTGCCATAGCAGTGTCAGATTTTAGTGCAGTATTTTTTTGTGTATTTAAATATACTTGTCTGTCTCCTGCCTGCTGACTTTTGGAATTGTACTGTATTGCTTTCTTCCACAAAGTTCTAATCTAGACATTTTTCTAATTAGATGATGTTGTATGAATGCTGTCATTAGGGGAGACAAAGGAGGGGGGGGACCTGTGACATAGGTGTACATACACTGTCCTGTGTATATGGTGTTCTGCACCATAACCACTTGGTTACTGGGGCCCCCATATATGTGATTCTTTTCCACATTTTGTATATGATGCCTTGTGTCAGTTCACTCTAACCTGGTTCGACCACTTGACCTTGAATAACCTCCTGCCTTCTCATAGGGTGAAGAACATGCTGCTTAAATCCAACTGTGTTTTGGAGGCCTTCGGGAACGCCAAGACCAACCGCAACGACAACTCCAGCCGCTTTGGCAAGTACATGGACATCAACTTTGACTTCAAGGGAGATCCCATCGGAGGCCACATCAACAACTACCTATTGGAGAAGGTAAAGGCGTCAGCAGGCCTTAAACATGAACCAAACACAAATTTAGTTTATTTTTCCTGACTTTTTGTTTACCTTTGCTTTTTGTCTCTTTTTCTGGTTTGTGAAATCTGTTCAAATGAAACTTTTACTTCTGTGGCTCAGAGAAACCGCTTTAAAACCACTGCTACATGACACTGTGCTGCTTTCTGTCTCAACAGTCCAGGGTGATTTTCCAACAGGAGGGAGAGAGGAGCTTTCACTCCTTCTACCAGGTAATTGTGTGTCAGCGGGTGAAGAGAGCATTTGCACAGACGGCGTGTGCATGCGCTCATTGGCTTTCTTTGATCAGCAGACTTGTGAATCCATGCAGCATTTGAGTCAACAGACCTTTTGTTCCTGTACATGGGAGTGGAGTGAGTTCACAATGAGGCTATAGTTTGTATCAAATGCTTCACTGTGAGAGAGTGGAGAGATCGTTTCCATTAGTGACATGACAACGTGAACGGCATGGGTAGAAATTACAGTTGGCACAATGCCATGTATTTTGTACTGTACAATAGCCTGTCCATTATGAAGTGTTGTAAGTAGAGTGTGTATGTCTGGTTCTCCACCAGTTGCTCAGAGGAGCCCCAGACTCTCTGCTGCGCTCTCTTCACATCCAGAAGGAGCCAACATCCTACAACTATATCAGAGTTGGAGGCAACATTAAGGTACTTCTCACACACCAACAGTTTGTGAGTACATATGTCTGAAAGTGTCAGTGTGAGACAATGTTTGTGTGCAGAGCGATAAACACAGTCGAGGACATGACTTCCAGATGTTTCCTCTCCACAGAAACATCATTTATTTTTAGTACAAGTGCAAAAAAAAAGGTATTTCCATGGTATTAAATCAGATCAAAACAACCTGACATCATGGAGAGTGATCCATCCAAACAGCTGAGGCAGCGGTTTGCACGCTGTGTTCCTCAGCCAGACTCTACAGCTCACTCCAAGTTTGTCACCTAACTGCTAACTGTGGTAGTTCTATTGCAGATAGATTAACTGGAAGAGGAAAAAATGTACAGATAAAATAATCTGGTTTTAAATACTTACTAAACGTTGTAATGATTGATCCTGCTGACTTAAACATTTTCATTTTTTAGCATCCTTCTCCAACATTACTCCTCTCTCTCTCTCTCTCCAGTCTTCCATCAACGACGGGGCTGATTTCAAAGCTGTATCCGATGCCATGAAAGTGATCGGTTTCACAGGGGATGAGGTTCAGACTGTTTACAAGATCCTGGCCACCATCTTACACCTGGTAATAACCGATCAACCAAATCCCTGCTCGTTTCTTAAGCCAGCTGTTTCCCAGCAGGTCGGTTCTGTGTTCAGATGTAGGACGAGTGACTCTAAAATCTTTGGGTTTGAAAGTGGATCTTTATTTATTGTTTTTTTGTTTAGTTTAGTGGGTCTAAATTTAAATGTAGCATACAGAAATTAGATTAGTGTTCGTTTTCACTTGGCAAGAAAGCAAATAAGTGCTTTTCCCAACTTGTCAAACTGTTCCTTTAACTATACTGTCATGCATATGCGTCTTTCTCCCAGGGGAACCTGACATTTGGGGTGGACGGTGATGTGACGTTGATAGAGAACACAAAGCTGATGTCTGTGATCCGGGAGCTGCTGTCTACCAAAGAGGAGAACGTGGAGAAGGCCCTGCTCTACCGCACAGTGTCTACAGGTCGAGATGTCATCGAGAAGCAGCATACAGAACAAGAGGCCAGCTACGGGCGGGACGCTCTGGCTAAGGTTGGTGCTGCGAAGACACCAAATTACACGTTGCAGGTCGCCTGTCAGACATTATTGCACAAACACTTTCTCTGTAGTGGGCTGCACAACAAAACAAAACCACAACAACATCAACCTTCTGAGGCTGGAGTCCCTGAGTACTTGACAGTGTTTTTACTGCGGTTCCCACTGATGCACACAAACCTGACTCCAGATGCTGGAGATGTGGGGGAGTAGCAGCACTGTGGGCTGTCGGCCACCATCTTGACATTTCACTCTCAGCTAGCTGCAAATTATGTGTGCAAGACTACCCTGTGCCCTGCAGCAGAGCACTTGCTCTGTTCACCAAGTTTGCAGCCAGTTAGTCTATTACACACTTCTTACTTTACGTTTTCTGCCATTCTCAGGCCATGTATGAGCGTCTGTTCTGCTGGATTGTGGGACGTATCAATGACATCATAGAGGTGAAAAACTATGATGCTAGAATCCATGGGAAGAACACGGTTATCGGGGTGCTTGACATCTACGGCTTTGAGATCTTCCAGAACAACAGGTTTGGATCAAACAAGTTTTTCCACCAACAAAGCCTCCACAAAAGATTTCCTCTGTGTGTCCATATTTACTGTTTTATCATTTGTTTTTGTCGGTTGTTCAAGATTATAACTTCCAGTTTAGAATTACCAGTGTATGTGGTTGCACTGATAACACAATATTAACTTGACATTTCAGTCTCTTGTTTTTTGTGCTGTAGCTTTGAACAGTTCTGCATCAACTACTGCAATGAAAAGCTGCAGCAGCTATTTATCCAGCTGGTGCTGAGGCAGGAACAGGAAGAGTATCAGCGAGAAGGCATCCCCTGGAAACATGTACGTACACAGGGCAGGTTTTGATCGCAGTGTGTTTGCTGTATGGGTGGTAATATTAGTTTTATTTTTGTTTCTATTGCCACTCATGGGGCCAACCATTCTTCTGTAAAAACTGTATTAATTTGCTTTGACTGTTTACTATTGAGCACAAGCATTTAGACTTGTTTCATTTAAACTCCTCTTATTCTCCTGCTTGTCTTCTGACCTCTGTGTCCTCTGTTGTTAGATTGATTACTTCAATAACCAGATCATTGTGGACTTGGTGGAGCAGCAGCACAAGGGCATCATCTCTGTGCTAGACGAAGCTTGTATGAATGTGGGCAAAGTTACAGATGAGGTTTTTCTCCAGGGACTCAATAGCAAGCTGGCCAAGCACGCTCACTACACCAGTCGCAAGGTAGGAGGCACGCAGTGCACAGCTGATCTAATCAGAGCAGCAGAAAATCATTTAGACAAAACTACAAACAATCTCTGGTTGTAGCTTCTACAGTGATGGAACCTTTCTTTGTTTAATATCATGAATATTTGTGGAAAAAACCCAATGTGCTCAGCTCAGTGTGTGTAGTGTGGTGCTTAAAAGTTAACAGAGAGAACAGGACAGCACTCCTCTGAAATGGTTTATTCAAACATGGCACAGACATTTCAGGCACCTGCTCAGTGTGCTGACTCACTTACACACAGGTAAGTGTAAGGTGTATAACACAATCCAGTGCAACGCTGTGGTCAATCAGAGCTCATTCATCCGCCAGTCAGGACTTTTTCAAGTGCTGCTGAATTTATGTTGCATCAATATCATCACTTAAAATCATTACAGTGCACAAAAAAGATAATTATCAGTCTGTCAAAACACACGACCTGAATGGTCTCACAACTCATGAAACCAAAAGCGCTCTCTCTGTATTACCTGAACATGTTTCAGATTTGGATGCAGATTCCAAGCAGTTTCATTAATCAGTAGTCAGCCTCAATAAGAACAAATTTTGAAATACACTGGTCTTTTTTTTTATAATAAAACTATTTGTTAATTGAATAAATAATAAGCAGATGAATCAGTAATGAAAATAATCATTAGTTACACTTTTATTTGATGTATTATTTTGATAGGAACCACTTCAGAGCCCATCATTTTACCTGCACACTGTGGTCTTCTTTAGCAGAGTCAGAAACCAAAGTACTCCCTGGCTTTCTTATAAAATGGCTGGGTTTGACTCTGGTTTGTCATCGCTGTCACACATCATACTCGTGCCTCTGTTTCCCTCATGTTTACAGTACTTTTATTTTACTTTATTATTTTTTACTTATTCACAATTATTTAATTACTGGTAAAATACTGAAGAGAGACAAATTAGAAGGTCAGTGTCTTAATGCACAACAAGCTATTGTTTGTTTTACAAACCTATAGTTAATATAAAAGTCTGGGAATATATCAGATAGCTGTAGTAACCCGAGAACACCAGAGGGCAGATTACAGCTACAGTGAGTAACCATTAGCACCAGTGGAAGAGACTGAGTTTAATAAACAGGAAGGCTCCAGTCCAGCTCACTCTAATGGTCTGCACAGTCAGACAAAACCTGATCCAGTTTAACTTGTTAACATCCAGGTGTTGGGATCAGATGGGTTAGATGGGGTGGAAGTCACTCATCTGTGGTCGATGTTTAATGTGCAGCAGTGTGTTTGTGGACAGCTGGTGAGTATACGTGTATCCACTGCAGTGTCTTCATTTCAATGACTGCAGTTCTCTCTGTGGACACAAGAGGGCACCAGCTGTCAGAGAGAGAGTGAACAGGAGTCCGACTGAACACTTTGCACGAGTGATGTCACTGTTAGCCAATGGGAGGGTATGGAGCTGTGCTTTGCTCTGGGAGAAATGCTGCTGGAGGAGGCATATTTACAAATGTGTGAGGAAAACCAAACAGGGAAGTGGAACGAAGAGAGGGATGGTGGTGCAGTGAAAGTGAATGAGGACAAGTGGCAGATGAACATCTGTGCATGTTCCCGGCCAGTGTGGATAAACACACTTAAAGCAACAGGCTACAGAGTGAGTTACTGTGTCAGAAAGGCTTTCTGGAAACAAGGCAATGTAAAGAAAGAACACTGAGCGGACCCAGCACTGTTACTGAGTGAATAACGTCCCCAGTGACAAGGAAACGGAATAAAGCAAGGTTGAGCTGAGATGAGGTAAAGATCGACCTGTGCTGCAGGGTGTATTGATCGGTGAAGCTCGCCTTCGTCCTGTCATCCCGAGGTCGATATGCCCCCCGCCATCGCCCTTCTGCTGCTCCCTGACCTGCTCCTCTGGCAGCGGACTCAGTTTAAAAGACATTTGAAATGAAGGGTTGAAACTTGCAGAGATCCAGCTGTTGCTTCTTGGAACTGCTATAAGTATGAATCAATTTTAGCCAGAGATCTTTCTTCTGTACTGTCTTGAGTCCTGTTGCCAGGCAACATCAACACAATGGATATTTGGTCAGGAACTAGTGTGAATTGTTGACGGCTTTAGTCGATCTCCAGGGCATTTGGGGTTGCAATACCATTTAGATGAGCTTTTCACCTAACATTTAATGTTAATGTTCTTATTAAAACAAATCTGTGTTTGAGCAGCACAAAGCATTGGAAACCTAACTTAGATGATCACATAAGAAGTCACTGGTTGTGCTGTTTATTGCAACAACAAGTGGATTGACTGACTTCTTTCATTAGGTTTATACTGCAGGGAATTGACCCTGATTCCTCTAATTTCATGATAAGATACTCTTGGTTCTCATCATAAAAGCTGTGTCCAGGTGCTCTGGTACACGAGATACCTGCAGTGATTGCAGTAATTAAAGTTCAAGTTCAATTCAGTTTTATTTGTATAGCGCCAAATCACAACAAAAGTCATCTCAGGAAACTTTACAAAGTAAGGTCTAGACCTTACTACTATCATTATTATAGAGGAAAACCCAACAAATCCCCCTTGAGCAGTACTTGGTGACAGCAGGGAGGAAAAAACCCCTTTAACAGAAGAAACCTCTCTTGGTGGGCGGCCTTCTGCCTTGACCGGTTGGGGTGAGTGGATAGAGGAGAGGGAGGAGAAGAAGAAAAGCAACAAGACGCAACAAACAATCAAACACTGGTCAGGTTGATGTGGCCGGTGACTGCTCATCAGTAACATAGAGCTCCAGGGCCAGGGCAACCTGCAGAAAGGTACAGGGAGAGAGCGAGGACACACTACGGGAGAGAGGAGACACAAAGTTAGTGATGTGTAATGGTGGCATATAGAAGCATAGAGAGAGAGAGGAGAGGGAAGGGGAGGGGAGAGAAACTCAGAGCATCATGGGGCCCCCCAGCAGCCTAAGCCTATAGAAGCACAACTAAGGGAAGGCTCAGGGTCACCTGATCCAGCCCTAACTATAAGCTTTATCAAAAAGGAACGTCTTAAGTCTAATCTTAAAGGTAGAGAGGGTGTCTGCCTCCTGAACTGAGACTGGGAGTTGGTTCCACAGGAGAGGAACTTGATAGCTAAAGGCTCTGCCTCCCATTCTACTTGTGTGGACTCTAGGAACCACAAGTCTTGCCTAGTAATATGTGTTATTTGTATTGGTGTACTATTTACGTATTGCTCTTGTGAGATGCTGACTTTGTATTTCACATAGCAGCTTTATATTGTAGTAAAGTCTGGGGTTTTTCTTTACTTCCAGGAGTGGAGTAGACCCTTGTGATTGATGAATTACTTTCAGCCATAGAAAAAAAGAGAGAAATAGTTTCTTTTTGTATTAATGTGACCAAAAATGCACATCCTTAACCCACATTCATGAAGCAAATCAACTCTTAGAAAAGCACTGAATGTTTCAAGGCTTTGCAGGTGAGAAGAGTAGACAAGCTCTGCAGGCTTTAAACAGCCAGCGTGGATCTCTGGCCCCATAGCTCACATCTCTTCAAGTCTGACTGCCACGCAGGATCAGAGCATGAGGGTTGAAAACAGATGGAGTGCAAGAGAATCAAGGGGAAAGAAGAGGAGGATAGATGCACAGGGAGAGACTGGGAATGAAATGTGAGAGGAAGCCAGATATGCACATCAAGGAGAGGAAGGGTTGGGACCTGGAGAAAGGGAGCATGAAAAGACTAGAAATACAGTGATATATTTCAAGGCTTCCTTTTAAAGATAGATCAACCATGTGCTCACTTGTAGTGATGAACACACAAGGAATTGAAGTTCTTCTCATTCTTTCATTTTAGGCCCTTTTCCTACCTGGAAATGTCACTTTACATCAAGCTCACCTTCAGCAGCCACAGGCAGCTGTTGTCAGTGGTGGAGCTCTCAATAACCCATCGTGCCCAGCACATAATGGCAGACAGTCAAAATAGCAACTAGCTGCTGAATGTAATTGAGCAACCTAGCAGCTAAAGAGCAAATTATTCTTCTCAGGAGTTAGTGGTGACCAACAACAGATCTAAAAGGAGAGAGACCACTGGAGATAATGATTTTAAAATGGAGGCTAATGTCCCTGTGTCTGCTGGATGTGTAAATTGCCAGCTGCTTGCCATAATTTCCAAGGTGATAATACATCAGCTGTTGTGTTTTCAGCTTTGTAGGTGGCTAAAAAGGTTAGATAAAAATAAACCAAATCTCCTCTAGCAGAGTAACAACTTCTGATACTTCATAATGCAAAGTACTGCAGCTTGACACTAATCCAACTCGGCTGTCAAATCACTGTCAAGCTGCTGTTGCTAGGGTAACCTTGAGTCCTGCCAGTGCTCCTCTCTTACTGCTACAACCACCAATAAGCCAACAACATACGGACAGGTGACATGTTAAAGTAAAAGCCTGATAGAATGAGTGGAGAAACATAACAAGTGCAGATGCTTCCACACAGGTGCACAGCATGTACTGCAGGGGCAGGACCCTCCCGCCTGTTACTTAAAGTGACCACACCCTTAATTATGCACATATTTAAGACTCAGTATAATTTAAACGGGTGAGTTTTACAAAGTTGTGCAGATATCACAGAAGGGGAACGCAGCTGTAGAGACTTTAATTTGTTCCAGGCTATAAACATGTTTATTTAAAGGTGGGAATCTCAACATGGAACAATTGGAACAATTCTCAGCCTCAGAGGTTGCTGCTTGACTGGGGCTCTTTATGTGGAGTTTTTCTTTCATTTGTCACTTGCCTGTATATATTGAATGCAGTTCATTCCTGCCTCACAGTGTTGCGCATGTGTATGAGAGCCTTACTTCCAAGAACTGCAGAGATGGAGAAGAGCGATGCATAAGAAGAGAGTGAGTCAGGTTCTATTCCAGGACATGTTCCTGAAACCTGATCTGTGCTGTGTTTCTGTAGTTATGTTTTCACCCTCTATCCACTGATGCTACACACTCTGTTTTGTTGTCCACATGTCTGATGCAAAATCACC